TCCACTGGTCGTGCGGAGCACTCTTTGAAAAGCCTTATGTAAAGCCGTCTAATTCCACTCTAATGGGAAATTCGGTTTTCTGTGTGGAAATCCATGCCTTATTGCTAAACCGTGATTTCCTGGTCCTGTTGGCTGTCTCATCTAACAGGTTAGTAAATAAGGAAGTTAATAATGGTAAAAAGTCAAAATATAGAGAACCGAAAAAACTTTTAACATTTATAGCTTTTTACTACCTCATATCGGATAGAACTTCATAAACTAGTAAACAATAGGAAATGCTTCAAAGGGAAAAACTAAATTTTAAATTTAAGTTTAAATTTAAATTTAACTTTCATTTAAATTTTAAATTTGTATGCCTATAAAGAGTTAAACTGCCCCATTTCTTCCAGGGTGAAGAAGAAAGTCTCAAACAAAAGGGACATTTGAACTGAGAGCCACAACCTTAACTGTGAGCAGAGAGAAGTATCTCATGAGCGGGAGCTGCTTGTGTTAGGGAGTTGCTCCCTTCTAGACCTTCGTATGCCCGTGGTGACCCGGCAGGGAGACCAGAGCAGGAAGCCACACGGCCACAATCCCCACTGCCTCCCATGACGTCCTCGGAATTCTCCACTTTCAACCATCCCCTCTACACCTAATGAAGGGTCTGAACACTGGCTCAGAAGCTTCACACAGAAGCACAGATCAGACGTGACCTCTGGGGCCACCTGACTTTGCCACAAAAGTCTCCACCGTCAATGCCCACAATTCCAGGGAATATGACAAAAGTGGTTACACACTGGGCCCTGCTACAAACATTTCAAGTTTTAAATGGAATTGACTGGCCCCTTTCACACAGCCCTTCGCTGCAGTATTGCCCGGATGGCAGAGTGGACGCTGGGCCTTTCTGCCTATGCTCTGGTCCCATTCCCAACCGATCTGCCATTGGCCTGTTTGTATCTCTGTTAAATACATTTGCGGAGGGCGCCTGGTGGCTCAGTCGGTTGAGCATCCGACTTCGGCTCAGGTCATGATCTCACAGTTCCTGGGTTCGAGCCCTGCACTGGGCTCTGTGCTGACAGCTCAGAGCCTGGAGCCAGTTTCAGATTCTGTGTCTCTTTCTCTCTCTGCCCATCTCCTCTTCATGATCTGACTCTCAAAAATAAATAAACATTATGAATAAATAAATACATACATATATACATTTGCTGAGAAAAAATCCACAAGACCTGACAAGGTGGTTTAGTACATTATTTTTGATGAACTTTTGCTGAGTGGACACAGACCCTATCACAAGGTAAGCACCTCCATGCCTCTAAAACTGTGCTGTCTTACTTATTCCATGTCTCTTGAATAAAAAATGGAGAAAAGTTACCCATGAAAAGGCCTGGGACCTATCAAGTATTTGTGTGGCTGGCTGAGTTAATCTGCAGCCCATTAACCTACCCATTTTATTCAGAACGTACTTTAAAGTGCAGGATTGCTTCCCATGAGAAAGCATAATGCACCTGACACTGGAAAGCACTTTATAGTTTTCCAGGAATCTTTTCAGTAAAGCTGTAAGTTATAGACGATGCATGGCTCATATCGTTTTATAAACACAGGAAATGAGGTTGGTTCAAGTTTATTCAGAGACTAAAGGCAGAACCCAGATCTTCAGACTTGTAGGCGTGGGCACTTTCTACCCCAAACTGCTACCTAGAAAGGCCATAGAGCCGAGTGCTTCAGAGTGTGGCATCTGGATTCCTACCAATTAAGTGAAAATCTTGGTTCTACCATCTATTGTTATGAGTGTGCATGGGTTTCTTAGCCCGGGCACCTCAATTTTCTCATCTATAAAATAGGAATATTAAGAACAGCTACTAGGGTGCATAAGGACTACTTGAATAAATACACCTGAGAAATCCAAATGGTGTCCACTACATAATCACTCCATAAATGTTTTAACATCTTTACCATGCATGGTTGTTATGTGGGATCCTGTCCGATGCCAGACCCACAAATCAATGAGGGTTATGCTAACATGATGAAAAGTTCTAGGCGCAAATCTTGCTTTGTTATGTGGTCCTGGGAAGTGTGTGTTTTTAAAAACTTTTAAATTAAATATGTAATATATTTTAAATGTAATATACCAGACTCTAGAACTGGAGAGAGGCATGCCTTGAAAAAATCACTTGCCATGCCGTGAAGAGCATAGGTAGAGGTCTACATGGCATATAAATGTAGGCTTTTTACTGACTGCTCCAATTAAAAAGAAAAAAGAAAAGAGGAGCCGGGGTGGCTTAGTCAGTTGAGTTTCCAACTTCAGCTCCGGTCATGATCTCGTGGTTCCGGGGGTTTGAGCCCCACACTGGGCTCTGTGCTGACAGCTCAGAGCATGGAGCCTGCTTCATATTCTGTGGCTCCCTCTTTCTCTGCCCCGCCCCCACTTGCGCTCTCTCACTCTCTTTCTCAAAAATAAGCATTACAACATTTTTAAATAATAAAAAAATATAGAGTATCCTATTATTTGAGGGAAAAACATTATCCAAATCATCCAAAGGGAAGGCACTGTAGAAAACAGTGAATTACAAAATTGCTTCGTAACTGGAAGGCATCATTACTACCTCATTGGCAGATATGAATACCACAAAATAAGTCTGGTTTGAAACTTAGAAATCAAAGTTAAAATTAAATGAGCTCTATAAGTGGACCTACACCAGATGTGAACTTGATCCTAAATTTCAGCTTCTGATGAAATATCCTGCAGCCCTTGTTCACATAGCGGCCAGAATGCAAACATTTTTTTTCTTTTCCATTTTTTGAAATCTATTCTGATAATATTAATGACCACTGGTAAAAAAAAAAAAAAAAAAATCAAAGAAAATAATAACCATGAATAAAATGCACTATTCCTCTTCCTACCAATGACCAGCAGCACAAACCTTCCAAGCTCTTCGATGCCAAGGACAGCTGTTGGGAGCAGAAAAAGCCTTAGAAGGTGGGTCTGATTGCATCATTTCATCAGCTGAGCCTCCACAATTGGTTTATAATTTACTTGGTAAAAACAGAGAGTCAAATATTGTCAAGTTCCCTGAAAGTCATCCAGAAGGTTGTCCTTGCTTACTGCGTTGACAGAGAGCTGAAAAAGGGCTGTCAAATTACTGTGGTTCCTCTTAAAATAGAGACTGCCGTCCAGGGCTCTGATGGTTTGCTTGTTCTTTAGAAGCAGAGAGTCAGACCACAGGTATAAGGGTGAAGAAAGAATTCCTAATAAGAAACCGAATAAATGCTAACTCAAAACCTAAAGTCAAGGTGAAAGGTTATAAAAACTCTGAAGAGCTACTTTCTGCAGGGAAGAAAATGTACGTTCTCAAAAGTCAACTTAGGAAATTACTACATGAAAAATACGAAGCCTATCAACCTGTTTTTTAATGAGTCTGACAGTGAGGAACAGTCTTCATACTAAAGGCAGCCTCTGCCTGTAATAACAGTACAAAGCTAGTCAAGTTTTTCAACACCTAAAAAGCACAGCATATGGCAGGGACAGCCAGACTGCCATGATCATCTCCAGAAGTTTAAGAAGCTTAGTCATGCCCCAGGGATCATCACTGTAGCCTGAAGCAAGGTGACTTTCATGTGGAAATAAGACAGAGATTCTCTGGGGCTGTGGTGCGGTTTTTCAGATGCAGGATGAGCTTTCTTCTAACCATTCAAATGCCCAACGTTAAAATATTTGCAACCAGGGGCATCAAATTATAGTCATAACCCCACAGGGCTGGAAGGGCCCATAGACGTGATTAGTCGAAGCCTCTCATTTTATGGCAGGTGACAGGGCCCAGTGAAGGTAACCGGCACGTGGCAAGTTTCACAAGTGACTGAGCTGACCCAGAAAACACAGGAAAGAGAATGGAAATCAGGAATGTGCCGCTCAAGTCCCTTCAATGCCACCCGGCAGGTGGGTCCTCACTACCCTGTCCTTCTCATGAAGCAGGTAACTGAGAGCAAATGTGTGGCCCTAGGAAAAAGGAAAATTCAGCATCTCCTCTGCCCCCGTCATTCCACTCCCCATTTCCTGTTAAGACAATCCCCTTCCTCCCACTCAGTTCCGCCTTTCCAGGGCCTTCCCCCAAAGTGCAAGCACAGCATTCACACTCTTGCCAAGACCCCAAGGTACAAAGACCAGGGTCTTGCCACACACACACACACACACACACACACACACCCCCGGTGCTCTGCAGTTCCCATTCGAGCCAGAAGTAGTGGATGGTGGCAAGAGACTCCTCCTTGCACGCCTTTACAATCACAAGGAGCATAAGCAGTAAATGAGGCTGGTTTTGCTTGAAATGCAGAATTTCTGCTAATCAGCTTCTGGCTGGTTTGGCCACAAGAATGGTGGCTCTACACTGCATAATCCATCTTTGTAACTTCCTTTCTCTATAAGCCTGTGTGCATGTGTCCTGCTGTGCAAGGTGCTGGCGGGGAGGGGAGACGCTTGGGGGAGGCAGGGGGAGGGGAGACGCAGGGCTGGCTGTGGGGGTTTAAGCGCAGGCGCACTGCAGTGCTTGCCGCTACTGAGAACTGAGTGTCCGCTCCTCCAACACGTTCCTTCTAGTGGCCATTTGGCCCCTTGGATTCATTTTCTATACCTCCTCCCCACACACGAACAGACTTGGCTGTCGCTCTAAATGTAGGGCTGCTTTATCTCTAAATGGCCTTGAATATGGATCAAACTAATATCATGAGGGAGAGAAAAAAATACTCCCTGTACACTTTTATCGTAGACCCTATGCACAGAAGAGTGCCTGACTTTGTTAAAAACAACAAAAACCTACAATTTCACCATGACACTTACAAAAGTAAGAGAAAGTCCTGACTGTTTAAGGAGTCACTGCAATATGACATTCGTCTCCACTGGCCCCACCGATGTAAAGAGCATCATGGTACAAACAACTTAAAAAACAAAAGGGCTCTTATTCCATTTGACAGGAGAACATTTCACTGCATTTTTTTTTTTTTACTGCTGTGCCTAAGGAAATGCTTACCTTCCAGCATTTTTTGCAGACTGTTCCTCATGACGTGGATATTCTCTATCCCGATGAACTGAAACTTGATATTGGAGTAGTTATCTTCGTTCTCATAGCCTTTCCCTGCGGCGCGATTTGCCATTGCATTGAGCTGCGGTGGTCAGCAAAACAGAATGGTCAGCGATGACATTCATGCCCTAACGCAACCCGAACATTTCCCCGACAGCCGTGACAGCAATTCAAAATGATGTGCGGAAACACTCCCCGTCTGAAATCACCAGAATACTGTGCTGAGCTATTCAGGCACGCATGCTGAGCTTATAACTTTGTTGATTTGAGGGAGCATTTCCTTCGCTGGAAAGCACTCTACACATACGTCCTTCTGGAAATGCCTCTTACAGTTCCATCCAAGACGCCACACTGAGTGTGCAATTCTGTGATAGAGCCAAGTCTTCCTGACTTAATCAAATATTATACCAGGGAGGTCAGCAGACGCATACTAGCAGGTCTGCCTGGCAGCACAAAGCTCCATGAGCTACATGACATCTTCCAGTATCATACTGCCTATAAACACAGTATCCTACCAGAATGGTGGCATGTTTCTAATCTGTCCACAAGAATCCCCCAATTAAACCCTGAGCAGGAATCACAGAATAAAGTGAGGGTCTGCAGCACTCTCTCCAGAGCCATTCGTCCAGGCACTAGACACCTGCTAAGAGGGTTTCGGGACCAAGTTCATGAACATAATTTTGTTGACGTGAAGTGGAGGTTTCCCAGTGCAAATTGGGTTAAAGACAATGGACTTTGAAGACATTTATTATATGGAGACTTCTGCTCTCATCCTGGGCAACTAAAACCCAGCAGGGTGCATGCCCTGCCTCAGCTAGGAAACACATACGTTTCTGGAATGGACATATTACTGTGAATATTGTATCCTTATTACTGTTAATATTGTATCCTTGCTGTTTGGCTAAGCAGGTAGACAAACCCTAGGAAACAGTATTCACTGACCATGTTCCTCTTCTGTCCACAAAAGGCAGGTGGGTTATCCCAGGCAGAAAACTGACACCAGGAACTCACCGCCAGAAAAAATATATATATCTGATTTTAGGCTGACAGTGAGGTCCTGGGGGGATATTAACAAATACTTTTCAAAAAGCTAAGTTTAAAAAATAAAACTAAGTTAAAAACATAAATATTCTTTGAGCCAGATCTTTACTTGTGAGAATCGTACACAATTAAAACTACCAGCACATAAAGACAGGTGTCCGAGAACGTGTATTAAAACTTTGTAATAGTAAAAACCTGAAAACCTATGCTTATCTCAATAGGGCAATGCAGAGATAAATCACAGTACATTCACACCCTGAACTTCTACATAAACTAAAAAACATGGATTTTATAGAGAGAGAGAGAGACAGACAGACACAGAGACACATAGACTGATAGAGAACTGGCCCCATGACATGTTAAGTGAAAAGAGCAACCTAAGGAATAATATTCAAAGGTGCCTGGGTGGCTCAGTCGGTTGAGCATCCAACCGGCTCAGGTTGTGATCTCAATGTTCATGGGTTCAAGCCCCGCGTCGGGCTCTGTGCTGACAGCTCAGAGCCTGGAGCCTGCTTTGGATTCGGTGTCTCCCTCTCTCTCTGTTCCTCCCCTGCTCACTCTCTGTCTCTCTCTCTCTCCTTCGAAAATAAATAAACGTTAAGAAAAAGAACAATATTCATACAATGATCTCATTCCTTGTAAAACAAATGAAAGCACAGATATGTATTTATGTTTACGCATGTTTGAGTAAGCAGATTAAAATGTATCACCAACTATACCAACCTGGGAGCCGGAAGAGCAAAAAGACAGGTGGCAAGTGGCAGGGACATTTTCAATACTATTTTACATGCTTTTGAATCCTTTGTTACCAACACAATGTATTAGGTTTATAATTGAAATTACAGACATAACACGTATTAGCAGCGAAAAATCAAGCCGCAGAGGGCAAGCCAGCGGCGCCTGGAGCCCGGGCGGGCAGACACCTCCCTTCTCCACAGCAGCCCTGCCCAGACTGCCCTGTTACATCAGCCCCTGCAGACGCCATCTCCAGTCACTGTCCCCTTCCTCCCAGGTGTGCTATCCGAACAAAGGGTTTGGCCTTCCTCAAGAAAAAAAAATACATTCTTTTGAAAACAACTTACGTTGACACCTATTTAAGGGGAAATTTTTTCTAAAATTACTTATAAGGATTATTCTTTTGAAACCCACTGGTATAAAATATCACTGCTTTGTATAGTCACTTTCCGAAGCTGCTGGCCTCTCCTTTACGGCAAGCTTTATCAAATGGGACAATTAATAGGATACTTGCAAGTATCCTTATGCTACACCAACCTTATATGTATTTCCGTACCTTGAATAATTCAAGTTAAGCCTACTCACCACATACTACAGAGATACTCATTTTAAACAGTGTAATAAACAAAACTCAAAATACTACTATTATCATTTTAAGGTAGAATTAGAATTCTGTGTTTACATTTTTAAACAGTGGAATACCTGTGAGCTGGGATAATTTATTGGAAGTCTTTCCAAGCAAAGGAACAACACAAGATGTGTTCTTGAAAGTCAATGGTACTTCTCATAATGAACACAAGATGGCAATATTTAATCTATCATCCAAAGTGTACTTTCGCAAGGTTTCTACATATTTCACAGAGTCTATCAGGATAACGTGGCAAATGCTGAACCCTCAAAGCACGAAATATGGTTGTATAATTAATGCAAACTCAAGAAGCTACCCTGGATTTATTTTATAAATTTCTAGATAGAGTGTCCCTTGTATAAACAAAATAGCATTAGCGTAAGACGAATTTGTCCCCTGTGCCTTTGGCTGAGAAATCCATCTCATGACGGAGGGAAAAGCTCTTCATCTCAGCTCCAAAAAATTCCCAAAGAAATAAAACATTGGAGGTAACTGCTTTCCAGTTTCAATTTATACTTAAGGAACACAACAGACAAACGACTAGTAGGGCTGGAAAAAAATACCCTGTTTTCTAACCCAAGATCACTCCACTATTTGACAATGTCTACATCTTTGGGTGCAGAAAAGCTCATAAAGGAAACAAAAAGAACTCCTCTCATTTCCTTCAAACTCTTAATGAGCACCTAGTGCATGCCAAATGTTGAGCAGAATAAAAAGATGAATGAGAAGTCATTCCTGCCACCATAAACTTCTGAGTGTGGAAGGGAAAGCACATGGCACCAAACAACAATAGTCTCTACCAGCCAGGACTGGGCAGCAGCAAGTGACTGGCACAGGCTGTGATAGCGGCAGGGGTTGAATTGGGAGCAGCCCCATGTAGCCTAGGGGATCAGGGGTCACATTCCATGAAGGCCAAAGGCCTTGAGATAGATGCTAATCATCAGGAAGGATGGAAACTGAAGGGAGAGTATTCCAGATGAAGAGGTGAGAGACAAAATCAAGGAACAGATTATCAGTGAGCCAACCAGTGCCAGAGGAGTAGATGGTTCACAGATGGTGGCAGTAGCAAGAGAGGAGGCTTAAAATTAGCCAGAAGAATCCTTCTACAAAGAGCCCTGATTCAGAAGGTTAGACTTTACCCAGGACAGGGACGACTCGGGATTCCAAAGAGATTTACCTAAAAATTTTAAGATTTAGTGTCAATAGCAGAGAAGATCCACTGGACTGGGGCAGAGCACACAGTCTCCACGGGGAGCATGCAGGGCGGGTCGGCGGCCATATCCCTCCAACTGGCACAGAACAGGACTCAGTGAAGATTTACTGACTAGTTGACCAGCCAAAGGGCTCAATATGGGAGTGAAGTGGAGGGGTGAACAGGCCAAGAATGTTAAGAAACAGAATCAGATCCTCCTCTGACCCTAAATCAATCAATCAATCAGACACACTGAAACCATGAGAACTTAGCCAATGATGATCTTGATATCAACTTAACGCTCAGCCCGGTCACTCAGAAGACTACAACTGTCTTAGCCTTGCAGTCTCAAATTTCAGCAGAGTACATTCTGTACCTGAATAGTGACAGAGCCCAATCTGATGTGGTTGGGAAATGAGATCAAGTTATCTTGGCCAGAGGAGGATCCGGCCACAGGCTAGCAGCGAGCATCACATGACGATCCCCTCCCTCCTTCCATCTATGACTGGTGAAATGACCTTACCTGGTGGCACATACAGGTAAAAATATGAGGAGGCTTTATTTCCTGCTGTCTACAAGTGTGCCCGTCAAATCCTTCTTTCCTACCCCTGAGGATATCTTGGGCAGAATTACTAGCTTTTGGATCACACTCAGAGGGGACATCACCATCCAGCTCCATTTAAAATTCCAATCCCTTAGATGATGCAAACTCATCTCCTCCTCTCATTACATGCTGTCGGGACTGGTGAGGATCTGCTCTCCTACTTGCTTCTTCCTCGCCTAGGTACTGTTTCGGGGGGAATGGGGAGGTCCAGAGTGGGGAAGAGAAAAGGGATAACCACCTCTTCATAAAGCTCGCAAGACTGCAGTTCTCTCCCCATTGATGTCACTGCTTGACTGGCAATACTTATGGGCCATCCCTGCACAAATGCTGCATCCCCTAGGGCAGGCATGTGGGCTCTTCTCGTACATATGAGATACACAGGTCACTGACACGGGAGATCCCTCGGGCTTGAGCCTCTTCTAATCCCCTGAACTTTGCTCCCCAGCAAACACCCTGCAGTCCCCTGCAGCTGGAACGTCAGATGGATGAGCCCTGTGTGCTGCTTCCTCCGTGCCCTCGGACCCCTCAGGAAAACTCCTCCATCCCTGCACTACCAAAGAGAAGGCGTGAAGACTGCTCCACTGCCTCTGAATACTGATGTCTCTCCGGTACCCTCTCCCCCTGCTCACCGCCACGGCGGCCATCTGCAAGGCTGGCCCACATCCTGCTAAAAAAGGAGATCCTCCATCTTTAGAATGGATTCTCTCAGATCCCCACTGTCGCCTCACGGGATTTGGTGAGTAGGAACCACTTAATTACTGATCCCAGAGAAACACGAAAATATCCAACATCCTGTAACAACAAAACTGGTTACAGGGGGCGATTAGAAGCCATAACCATAAAGCTGTCTTTGGAGAAGGAGCAAGGACAAAAGGCTGAGCATCAGCACAGGCAGGTGGCTGCCCTGCCTCACGCCTTCTCTGTACTGCTCAGTGCTTCCTGCCAGGGTTCTGGCATCGGGGCACAGCTCAGAGCCCCTCTGGCCCTGATCCAGGCTGACCTGTGGCTGGTTCTTCAGCTCTGCGTCTCCATCCTCAACGGGCGTGTGCTCGGAGGCGGCGACCCTCCTGAGCTCCATGTGGATACAGGCTCTGACTTCTGTGAACAGCACCACAGCCAAGTGGAAGGAGCCTGGCCTTTGGCATTGGATAAGGCTGGATTTGAATGTGGGCTCTGCCCTGACCTGTGCAGCCTTGGGCAAATTATTTCACCTCTCTAAATCTAAGCTCTATCTATAAAAAGAAAACATCTCCTAGTTTTCAGGATTGTTATAAGAATTAAATGACAAAGTGCTGCCTGGCATCTTTACAAGCGCAGACAAGTCCCAGAAGAAAGTAACGAGAAGTCAGGAACAAGGTTGAGATAAAATTAATTACCTCCCATTTGATAATTCAACTTCTATCGATTGCATCAACATTATTTCCTATCTGCTTAATGCACCAAATCCCAGCAGTAATATATGACCTCATATATATTTTTTGAGCAGATATTCAAACCTGCTGAGGACCTCACTGCTTCTGCCTCCCAAGCTTTTAATATCAACAAGCAATTCAGAAGGCTTTCACCTCAACAGGCAGCCTGTGGGGCTGCCCTTACTGCGGCCTGGAATGATCTGGATTACCTCCTGATCATCTCTCCATTTATTTAAACCCAAGAGCTCCACTTCCCACTGCCCACCACCTAGAGCAAACAGGGACTCCATCCCCCGGCTCCCGAGGAAGCCTAACACTCTGGGACAAAAGTCAACAGGCTTGTTCTTTGGAAGAACGAAAGCTCTAAGCAAACAGTTTAAAACTCCTGTGAAGTGTGTGTGTGCATGAGCAAATACAACCGGGCACTTGAATGACACCCCAATTTTCTTTAATGGATTGGCATCGAACCTCTTATCGCCAAGAGTAAACACGCTTAGTGCTAAATATACCCTTCAAATCAAATCCTCTGGATTAATTCATTTTAAATCTGGAATATGCCTGGCTCAACAGCTGCCACATTTCCCAGGAGGTTTACACAGCACAGTGCACCCGTGGCTCACTGCTGAGCAATCAGTAGGTGACTGTGTTTGGCTTTATTTAAACCTGGGAAAACAGGAAAAGAGAAGAGGGTCCCAATCCAGGAAAGCCCCTGTCCTTCCCTTGTGTATCTCATCTTCAGTCCATGTGTCTAACATGCGGGCATTCTTTAGTTCTTCTGTGACCATGAGGCAAGTCCAAACAGCTGCACTTTACTTACACACAAGGTACGATACAGAGGAGTGAATGCAGCCAAGGTTAGAAGGGAGAGGTTGCAGTGTGATAAGCCCGAGAGAAAAGTACAAATGGAAAAAGAACAGTAAAGTCAGAGGCTTTCTGGTATCTTTCTAGTGAAAACCTTCAAGCTTAGCTTTTTTTCCTCCCCAGTTTGAAGTTCTTACCAGTGTACTTTGCTTTCACATTACCTAAAAGGAAGGGAATCCTTTGCATATCATCTGCCAGAATGTGGTACAGCTGTAACATGGGTTTTATCACCAATCTCCACAACTGATGGGCTGATCTGGCACCTGTTAGGGACCCCATCCTCCGTGGCCCCGCCCACATCTAGCCCACTGCTGCACTTGGGTCAGAAGCACGGACGGCACTGTTCGAAGGTCGAGGGTATGAGTAGCACACTGATCTTACACTAGGAAAACATCCAGTTAAGTGAACCAGGCCATGAATCACAATATTTGATGAACTGAGGCTCAGAGGAGCATTGAAAACCGCCAGGCTCTGAGTACCTACATAATGGATAATATCCAATTCTCAGTTCTCACATGGCCCACGAGTACAGGCTATGCCTACAGTTACCTATTCTTAACATCAGTGTAGACAATGGATCTGGGCTATCCATCATACTTCCTGCTTCCTGTTCTAGCATTTCTTGTGTCCTTATGTCCTTTTTAAAAATAGCTTCAATGACACACAATTCACAGACCATGCAATCCCTCCACTTATAGGGCACGATTCAGGGGCGTGTGGAGTATTTATAGAGTTGTGTAACTGGCACTACAGTCTAATTTTAGAACATTTTAATCACCCTCAAATGAAACCCTCTATCCGTGTCGCCCCCATTTCCTCCCATCCTCCTAGCCCAAGGCAACTACCAGTCTACCTTCTGTGTCTATGGATCTCCGTTCTGAACATTCCATATACATGGAATCATACAATGTGTGGTCCTCTGTGCCTGACTTCGTTCACTTGGTCTAACAGTCTCAAGGTTCATCAACATTGTAATGCGTATCAGTACTTCCTTTCTTTTTACAGCCAATAACATTGCATTGAATGGATAGCTTACATTTTATTAACTCATTCTCAGGTGATGGACATATGGTTGTTTCTACTTTTTTTTTTAAAGTTTATTTATTTATTTTGAGAGAAAGAGCCAGGGAGGGACGAGAGAGAGAGAATCCCAAGCAGGCTCTGCACTGTCAGCAGGGGCCTGAACTCATGAACCATGAGATCATGGTGTGAGGCAAAATCAAGAGTTAGACACTTTCCCAACCAAGCCACCCAGGTGCCCCAGGTTGTTTCTATTTTTGAGCTGTAATAAAATATACCCAGATAGGTTTTTGGTGGACATGTGTTTTCATTTCTCGCAAGTTAGGAGAGTAGAGCTGTTGACTCATACGGTAACTATGTTTAACTGTGTTTAACATTTAAGGTCTTTATGGTATTTTATTCTTTTCATGATGACAATAACGTTCAAACTATAATTTATAAAGTAAATAAATTCTTAAAATCCTCCTCTTTCCCTATAGGAAAAACCACTGTTAATGGCTTGGCATACAAATCCACAAATTCTTTTAATGCATAGAATAATATATTATGTTTATAATTTTTATTACATACATGGGACAACATCATACATATTTCTGTACCTTACCCTTGCTGCTTACTAGATCTTGAACACCGTTCCACACCCATAAGGAGAGACAGCAGCTCATACTGCTTTTTCCTCAGGCACAGGGGCACGTACATTTTCATTACCAGCAAGAAGTCATAATGCCAAATATGCTAAGGCCATTTTGGTTTGTCATCTCATTTTGTCCGATATATTCCACAGGCTTGTAGGGGATTTTGTTTCTGTGTATTAACTGACACTTTGCTCTGAAGACACCTTTTGCTGACTGGTTTACAAAGAAGTGGGTCTAAGCAGTGAAACTGGAAATTAAATTGGACCTAACACTAGTAGGCATTTTAAAAAAAAAAGGAAAGCTGTGTGGGAGATACCCTACAAGATGGACTTGGCTCATCCCTGGATGGTTAGATTTCTTGTTGACTGTCTGATTAAATTATAAAATCGGTACATGAATATATGCATAATTAAATAATATTTTCAAACAAGAGACATGTAGAAAGTTCTCTACTTCCCCAAATCCGCCCTTCTCTATGCAATTTTAACAGGTTGGCACATATCCTTCCGGATCTTTTTCTATTTTAATAGAAATGTTTATAAACCTATAGTGTTTTTTTTACATAAACACAATAGCATACACATTATTTTGTGGCCTTATTTACTTGACATTATATACTGTAAATCTTTCCAAGTCACACAAACAGACTGCTACAAGTTGGATCTGAAATAGTACACTGAACACAAACACTGAACTGTGGAACAGCAACACTAATTTATTGTCAGAGCAAACAAGGTCATTTTAGAAACAAATGAAAAGGTAATTTGGTAGGGGCGCCTTGGTGGCTCAGTCGGGTAAGCGTCCACACTTCGGCTCTGGTCATGATCTCACATTTTGGTTTGGGAGCTCGAGCCCCACATCAGGCTCTCTGCTGTCAGCATGGAGCCCACATGGGATCCTCTGTGTCCCTCTCTCTCTGCCCCTTTTCCTCTTTCTGCCCCTCTCTGCCCCCACTCTCAAAAATAAATAAACATTAAAAACAATTTTTAAATAACAGTAATAATGTGGTGTACTTTGGAGAGCAAGCTCCAAAATCAAACCATACTCATCTGTCACGTGTGCTGTGCACCCAGCACCCTGCTAGCGGCGCGGGGAACGAACTATGAAAAGTAAGTGGTGAGGGCGGGGGACACCCAAGGAAACTCACGGGTGGAAAAACACTCACCCAGGGAGAAACATGCAACCGAATCCTGACACTGCCAAGAGGAACAGCCCCTTGGCAGATGAGGCGCCCTAAGCAGGGGATGGCAGTCCCTTTATGTGGCTTTGCCTCGTCTCCAGCGTCAGGCTGCAAAGCTGCAAAGACATGCACCAGCACGGCACGGCGACACTTACTTTAGGCCGAGTGTCCACGACGTAAATGAAGTCGCTTCCTGGATTGGCTTTCCTGATGGCCTGGAGCATCTGCTCGTCCTCCAGGCAGCGGGCACTGAAGCCGGACAGGGGCTGGCTGCTCCGGCAGATGGAGGCCTGTGGGGAGAGGCCACGGCCACAGCGTCAGACGGGCTCGTACTGTTCCCCCGGGCACCTGCAGACTGTGTCCCCGCCCACAAGCCCCTGGCCCACGAACTCCCCCGCACCGGCTTGTAGAAGTGCCTGAATGCCTTCCAAAAATCCAGCTTGGTTTCTTTTTAATTCAGGCCGAAGAAACTACAACAAGGGCCAACAGTACGAAGTTACTCGGCGTAAGAAATCGGGAGTGTGCCTGGACGTTGAGATAGCACCTAACTAACTTATGAAACGTGAAGCCATCTAGATAGCCTACGTTCGGGCCACCTGGGTGGCTCAGTCGGTTAAGAGTCCAACTTCGGCCCAGGGTTCGCGCCCTGTATCGGGCTCCATGCTGACAGCTCAGAGCCTGGAGCCTGCTTCAGATTCTGCGTCTCCCTCTCTGCTCCTCTCCTGCTCACACTCTGTCTCTGTCTCTCAAAAATGAATGTTAAAAAAATTTTTTTTAATTCTTTTTTAACGTTTTATTTATTTCTAGGAGAGAAAGAGAGAGGCAGCGTGAGCAGGGGAGGGTCAGAGAGAGAGGGAGTCACAGAATCTGAAACAGGCTCCAGGCTCCTAGCTGGCTGTCAGCACAGAGCCTGACATGGGGCTCGAACCCACGAACCGCGAGATCATGACCTGAGCGAAAGTCGGATGCTTAACCGACTAAGCCACCCAGGCACCCCTTTAAAAAGCTTTTTAAAATAGCTTATTTTCCTTTTCACAGGTATTATTTCATTTTCCTGAAGGTAGAAATAAATATAAAGTAAAAAACTATTCTCCTAAAATTTATAGGATGCTGCTAAGAGCAAGACTGGTTAGAAACAAGTTATTTTGTAATGCTTTCCAAATTTATCAGTTTGTTTACCAACACCACAGATACCAAAACCCAATTCTAATCCAAATGGGGACGTTTTCACAGTGACGAAAGCCCAGACAGTTGGTAGCATGGGCACCTAAGGTCAGCAGGCACCCACCACCGCGGCCCCAGGGCGCTCCACGAAGGCGGTTTCTCTGGAATCGGTCTGCATTCAACTCTGCAATTTCCCAATTCCGCGATTCTGACAGAGTAAACTGCATCATCAGAAAACAGACCACAGCGTGAACCTTTGCGAGTTATTACAGTAGGTGGGCATGGATACTACCTCACAGCTATAAACCTTACGCTTCTGCGGCAAAGTATTTTTTATGGACTTAGATTTTAACATTTTAAATAAAGGAATGCCTCTTTCCAAGGACCTACACTGAGGCTGCGAGTCTGCTGGGTATGAGGATAGCAGGCGCGGTGGCTGGAGAGGAAGAGAACCCTCCAGCTCCGCGTGGGCTAAGCTGCGGAAACTCACCAAAGGGGGTCATGGCAGAGTCCGCTCGGGGCCCCTGCACTTCAAGACTCTACCCCCGAAGGGACAACCCAGCTCTGAGTTCAGCACAGTGTGAGTGTCCCTAATGTTCCACCTAGGACAACTTAGCGAGGGTTTGGGTTTCCCAGGAAAACCAGGAAGCTTTGGTGCTCCTCCCTGGAGAAGGCGGGAATGTTCCTCACTAACTCCACCACCTACACCATCTACGCCTCCTACAGCACCCACACCATCTACGCCTCCTACACCATCACAGCTGAGGACCTGCTGGCAAGACCGAGAAACACACAACAGCCAGACACGTAACTGGGCAACTGCCAGAGAGTTCCAGCCACATTCTGTGACATTCTGTGACAGCGAGGGGCAATCACCGGGGTGGGTCAAGAACTCTGAGCCCTGCAGCCAGGTTCGGAATTCAGGGCAGTGGCAAGCAAAGCAACGGGGCAGCAGAGCTGTCCAGAGTTGTGCAAGTCTTGAGCTGCTGGCAGAGATGCGCCTGCAGCCTAGGAGAGGGGGGCTCGGGCCTGGGGACAGCCAGCAAGGGTGAAGTCCGGGAGAGAGGAGAGGCAGGGCAGGAGCAAAGGCAGACTGGGCGACGAAAGGCAAGCAACATCCGATGGACAGAATGCTAAGGGCCACGCATGGCTTTCTGAGGCTTCCCCCAGAGGGCTCTATTTCTTCCGGGGGGTCAGGGCCTGCCGCGTGCCACGTTGCCCAGATGGAATTGTGGCGGGTAAGAGAACAATTCTGGGCAGGTTCTATCCGGTGCTTCATCTGGGTTCCAGAAGCACTAGTTAATGCAGCTACCAGCAGGCAATTTCTTCGACCATCAGAAGAATGAGAGGCGAAGGAGACACATTTAGCTGGTGAGAATGCACACACCACACACACGCTCACTGAGCAAGAGGGACTCTAGTTATGAAGAGAAGCCAGAGCATGACAACGACCTGCAGGGTGACAGCCGCTAGTTTTAAGTGAAGGGTTAAGTGAGAACAGAGTTACACTATGAAAGGTGGCCAATAAATTAAACCAGATGTATGAAGCCAACTAAACCAACTACATCTTAATAGTTGGGAGTTACATTTTCTTACTAACCTGTAGACATGCTCCACACAGAATTCCTCCCTGCGTCAGTGGGAGCATACAGTTACCAATTTTGTGTGGAGCAGTGAGGGGTCTTAAAGTGCTTCTGTTCGCCCTGTACGCACCCCAGTCGCACTGCTAAGAGAATATTTCCATTCCTGGGCGGCCTTTCTCACTGATGTCACTCATCTGAGAGCAGAGGTGAAGCTCCTCCATGACAAACTGCCAAGAGTGCTTCATTTACGATGCTGCTAATAATTAAAATATCTGACATTTTCTGAATGTGTACTATGTGGCAGCACTGTTATTAAGACTTTGTCATATTTTTATCTAATCTTCTCAATTACCATATACAATAAGATCCAGGATTTGCCTCGTTTTATAAATGAGGCAACCAAGGCACAGAGAGGTGAAGTAACTTGCTCACTGTCACACAGCTGCTAATTAGGGAAGCCAGATACTGTATCCAGGCATGATATTTTCTGATCCTGGATTCTAAGCCAAAATAATATATCAGGACAAAATCTTAAGTCAGGAAGCATGACACAGTATTAGATGCAGCATTAAAGAAGGTCTGGCTTTTAACCCACGGTTTGCTCTCACTCAGTATATGATCTTGGATAACTGACCTATTGTCTTTGAACGTTGGTTTTCTCATCTATAATATGAGGAAAATAACAGCAAAACTATAGAGTGTGTGAAGTATGTAACATTCTTAGAAGTGTGCCTAAGACATAGTGAGGGTTTTTTAAATTTTTTTAATGTTTATTTATTTTTGAGAGAGAGAAAGAGAGAGAGAGAGGGAGAGAGAGAATCTATGAAGAGAGAGAGAAGAGAGAGAAGAGAGAGAGAAGCAGGCTCTAGGCTCTAGGCTATGAGCACAGAGCCCGACATGGGGCTCGAACCCACGAACTGTGAGATCATGACCTGAGCCAAAGTCAGAGGCTGAACCAACTGAGCCACCCAGGTGCCCCGAAATAGTGAGTTTCAAGAAGTATTGGTTATAAAAGGAGGTTATAAAAGGTTAAAATTGGTTATAAAAGGAGGAAAGAAGATCTATATTTTTCTTATAGGAAATCAACTCTTTGAAAATCTTGCTGTTTCCCAGATATCTGTACTATGAATTTGGGAGACCACCTTATTAACAATTTAAAGCAAAACTGCTTTCTTCAAAATAATTAAAAGATTTAATAAGAGAGAACAAAGGATGCAGCAGTGCTCAGGGCTGGTGAATAACAAACACACAGGCATCTGAATGTAAGTGACATTTATAGTTTATATGGCTCTGTTATCTACGAAGCTGTCAATGGTTTGATATCCAAAGGGAGTCTGAAGGGCTCTATATAAGCCACATGCAGTTCAAGGCCTGAAAGTGTTATTCTGTGCTGCCCCTGACCTCGGGCACAATTGGGAGGGTAAGCTCCCCTTTACACTCTGCTGCTAGGGACACAGGCCCTGGCTGAGCAAGTCTCCCCACGGACCAGACAGAGCTCCTGCTCAGGTCTGAGCTGTGGGTCTCGGGCACCTGCCAGCCCAAGGAATTAACCAAGCCCATCACGTCCTCCCAGGAACATGGGGTCACCGCACCCTCTTGTTACTACAGAGCCCACCTCCCACACCCCCCGCTGGTTCCCCCCATTCCTGAGAGCAGCCCCACGTAGCCTGCGTGGCAGCCGTGTCCTCCCCTCCTGGGAAGTGAGTGCGCACAGTGAAGAAACCGCTGACAAGGCATCTGTCCGGTGTCGGGTGTCAGGGGCTCAGCCTTCCCTGGAGCCCTAGGTGTTTTATCATACCACGTATGATAAAAACGGACGCAAAAGGAGTCATGTAGCCTCGGCAGGGGCACTTCTATCACAGGATTCTGCACAGGACTTCTAGTTCACACAGTGATGTGCATTCCAAGCCTCTCTTAACCTAACTACTGTTTCCCACATTAGCCAAGCCGCCTCCCCATCAGAAGTGTTTCCTTGGTAACAAAAGTATATGTGGGGAATAGAAGCTTAACTAAAAAAATATGCTATTCTTAGTCACAAGCATAAGTTTTATTGGACTGGCATATTTTTTTTTTTTAGTTTTTAAACATTTATTCATTTTTGAGAGGCACGGAGTGCAAGTGAGGTGGGGGCAGAGAGAGGGAGACACAGAATCCGAAACCGTCTCCTGTCTCTGAGCTGTCAGCACAGACCCCAACGCAGGCTTACACTCACGAACCATGAGATCAAGACCTGAGCTAAAGTCAGACGCTTAACCAACTAAGCCACGTAAGCGCCCCAGGAATACATATTCCTAAGTCTATAATGTCTGAAACCACAAAAGGGAAGAAAGTTCAGCACATTTACACAATTTCTATCTGTTTACTTTCCATGGAAGACTGCCTGGTTTAGTATAGTTTTCCCAAGCAACGAAAGCATGAACTGCTGCTGTGTTATCTCACAAATCTTCCATTTCACCACAGAAATCCACCCGATACTATTTCCCTTTCTAAATATCCCCAGTTGCATCAGAAGGATTTATATAGTTAACCTTGATATTAGCACCTAACTCTGATAAAACACAAGATGATTGCTATGCTACCTACCCAGTACAGAGTTAGTTCGTGGGGGTGGGTGAGCAGGTGTGCACGCTAAGGATTGCCCTATGGTAACCAGCTCATCACAGCAGGGCGCCTGGGCGGCTCAGTTGGCTGAAGGTCTGACTTCGGCTCAGGTCATGATCTCGCAGTTCGTGGGTTCAAGCCCCACGTTGGGCTTTGCGCTGACAGCACAGAGCCTGCTCAGGATTCTCTGTCTCCCTCTCTTTCCGCCCCTCCTCTATGCTCGCTTTCTCTCTCTCAAAAATAAACAAAAAATTTTACATAAAAAAATAAGTGCATCTGTGTTTCTCACTTTGTAAGAAGAGCTAAAACATGAATTATTGTCTGCCTTAAAGTTCTAAATTCAAGAAATCGATTATTTTGAACTCTAACTGATGGCTGTATGATTCTTTTTCAAGTCTGGAGATCAAGGAATGAATGGTACACGAGAGCAGCGATGGACCAATGAGAATCTGAGGTCAGCAGGTGTAGAAGCTGGCCTCTGAGCTCTAATTGCTGAAACTTCTATCCTGTTCTGAGACATCACACACTTGCCCTTGGCAATGCTCACAGTGACACACACAAAAAAATTCCTTTTCTCAACAATAGTAAAACAGATGGAAAGGAAATAGGATGGATACTCTGCATACACTTAAAAAAATTTTTTTATTTGCTTTTGAGAGAGACAGAGCAAGCAGCAGAGAGGCAGAGAGAGAGGGAGACACAGAATGTGAAGCAGGCTCCAGGCTCTGAGCTGTCAGCACGGAGCCCAACACAGGGCTTGAACTCAGGAAGCATGAACTGAAGTTGGACGCCCAACTGACTGAGCCACCCAGGTGCCACTATGCTCACATTTTAAATACCCCACCCACCCTCACCTCTTAAACAACAATAAAAGAATAAAAGCTTCTCCCTCTCTTACTTCGTTATGAATGGATACTCCAAAAAGTATCAATGTTACTCGCATCCTAATTTCAAATACAATGTCATAAAATTCCCAATTCAGTCCATCATGGGTGGGTTTGTTTTGTTTGTTTTGTTTTTTAAGAAATTCCTATCTTTCTTTGCCTTTCAGTACTGTTCCAGTTCTGTGTAGGCTTAAATACATTTGGAGTCAAGTAATGCACAACATTAATAGAGTCCTTGCCTTTTTTAGACCCCATTTCAGAGCAGTCAGTGTAACTAAAAATAAGACAATTTATATCCTTCCAATCAATGGAAATTACACTGCTAAGTGATTATTTTCCTCCAAAGCAGGCAACACGCTGTATGCTTACCCTGGAGAAACAGCATTGTTGATGGTATTTTTGGAACCTCCTTCTAGAATCAGACACAGACCTTACCTGAACCCCTTGCCTAGAGGTCCATGTGTGCATCCACATTCACACACATTTGTTACAATTATTTATGGCTCTTCATTTGGCTTTCAATCCACAACTATAACATCTAGCTTGAAAACCAAACTTTTCACTTGGCTAAGGTCAAATAACTTCTGAAACGGGTGGCAAGGGTCATTCTTGTCTCCTTTGTTTTCCTGTCCTTCACAGAAATGGAGCCACAAGTTTTAGTTGTTTATACAGTCACCCTTAAGTCTGCATTTTCTCTCCTGCCCTGTGCAGTTCATCACTTCTGTGAGCATAAATGTCACGTGGCAGTTCCCGGAGGCTTCCTCGGAAAGCTGGTAGGGACCCCCAGCCCTCCTCTGCCAGCTCGGTGCGGAAGTGATGACTGGTACTAAGCCCATCTCCTATGCTCTTCGATTTGCGCCAAAGACTAGGGAAGGCGGAGCAGAAGGGTGCGAGAAGCTTGCGCCCCTGCGGGCTGAGTGGTGGAGAACAGGATTCCAGGCCTGGATTGCCCACCTCTGCAGTGGTATATGAGAGAAGAGAGAGTTCTACCTCGTTTAGAGCAGTGTTTCTTGGCGTCTCTGTTAGCTGCAGACAAATCGAGTCCTAGCTTTCATAAACAATATTTAAAAAATAAAACTCATTCTCCATAAACAAAGATTTCTTATGCAGAGGGCACTGAAAAAGTAAAGTGCCATTTACAAAAGGTGTCAAGTTTTCTGGGAGCTTTTCTAAAGCATGTGTTTCGAAGGATCTCTAGCTCTGCTTGAACAAACACAGAGCTACCTGAGGTCACCACTCAGAACAGGACAGGCACTCACTTGAATGATTACGCTTAGGTGTTTTCTGACTGTATCCCGTTACTTTATTATCAGATAAACATGAAAGGTCAACTTCTACATAAGGTAAGAGTTTAAGCATAGTCATGTTGTGTCACACCACACTCAGCAATGTCCAGAAGCCTGCTAGAAAGTGCCTGTTTATGATAAAACAAGAAAAGCAAAGCATAAAACAAAAGCATGCCTTGAGACTTACGTGGTTATCTCTGTAGTAGTAAGAAAGGGCAGGAAATCGCCGTCTGCTCCGGAATTTGGAACTCCCCACGATGATGTGTGCCGTGGCCGATTTGGGAACGTACAGTTCAGTAGGGTAAGAATCACAAACCTGTCAAGGAAAATACAAGGGGAATTCTCAGGCAATCTAGTAATGCTTTGTGAACTGCCACAAGAAATTCTACTCACCATGCTTATAAACTGCACGTTTACGTTTTCTTAACCAAGTTACCAGTAACTTCGGAGAAACAAAGAAACGCAGATTCCATGAAATCGCCGCAAAGGAAAGCAAACACTCTTTAGCAACCTGTGCTTGTGCACTGTCCCTTCTCTCTGAGGGCACTTTGAGTGGCAAGACAGGGACAGGTGGGCACTTCTTTCATCAAGAAGGGACAAATTATAATTCGGCACCCTGGTAGCTGAAAACAATTTTGCTGCCTGTTTTGAATGAAGGACAGCCTGACAGTGGGAGGCAAGCACCAGGAGTGAGCCCCTGGGGCCATTTCTCTGTCCCCAGCACACGACATGTGCACCCCTGCCTCTGAGAGGGCAGTCCAGCCAGTGCCCCCCCCGGAGACCTCTTCCACTGAGTCTTCCCAAACCTCCTCCATTCTTCGAGGGACAACCCAGCTCCACCTCCTTCAAGAAGCTTCCTCCTTGGACTTCCAGCTCAGGAAACCTTCTAGATCTGACTTGGTACCACACAATGTAACAGCTTTATTTCCGGGTCTTATGTGTTGATTTTACAAATGGTAAGAAATGATTTTATTCTTTCTGCCCATCACTAGTGGTGATTCCCACAGTGTAAACTCTGGAGCCCTGGAATGATCTTGTGATTCAGTCAGAAATCAGCATTTCAGAACATACCTCTGATGTGCCAACTTCATGACCTTCAGGAATATCAAACTACACTGACCTCTAAAACCGATGACACACAGAAATAATATCTCACAGGGTTGATATAAGGATCAACTCAAATAACATCCATGACAAAGCACTTTATAAACCATTAGGTCTAACAAAAATGTTAGAAGCGGCAACAGTAATTGCTGACGTGTGGCTCAGCATGTATTTCGCTTTGACATCAGCCCAATCAATCTTTTTTCAATGTGAAGATTGCCTAGATGGTGTTTCCCTGAGTTTTGCCAAAGCAGCTGCTTATTTCCCAGAAGTCACGCATCTTCTTCTAGACCATTTCAAGAGTCCTCGAGGAGCAGTAATGAAAGGGAAATGCACTAGCTGCATGTCCTCTGTCCATCTCCACCCACACTCACGTATCTGCAGAGATGGGATTGAAGGCAATGGGAACCCACCCCAAGCAAGAGCCAAGCCTCCTCCACTCCACAGATTATGAAAATCATCCTGTGATGTCGCCCCCTTGCCTGCCTCCCTTCTCTTTGTTACTAGACTGGTGCACAACATGGAGCAGGAGATAAAACGACCACAAAAGTGATGTTCTCAGGCCTTAAGTATAATTCCAGCATTGAGCCAAAGGCATTTTAGGTAAGATCACCAAAGAGATCAGAGGCTTCAAGCTCCCGCACTGACCCTCTGGAGGAAATCCTGCACCAGGAACACTGATACTCTGGAAGAAAATCTTGCCCCAAGAACAGATGGCCCAACCTAGCTGGACCCAGAGGGTTCTTACTGGAATTACTACCACAAGACACTACCTTCCTGCCCATGCAAATCTGGCAGCTTCACCTCTCTTCAGTCAATCGGCTAGAACATCACCATACAGGTCATGCCCACTAGTCTGAGGTTCAAGAGACAGGCAGTCATTGTACCAGACTTACAACAGTTCCTTAAAATAACAGTGTTTCAAAGGAAATTGGGAGGTTTTCAGTAAGGCAGGAATCACCACCTACTTTCTTGACTATAACAACACTAAGGAATCGCAAAGTCATTTATGATTAAACAAGGAAGGAATAGGTGAGATTTCTCAACATGCCTATTACACACAGCCTTTCTGAGTAACAAAGGGGTGACTTAGGAAGTGTGGAGCTACTGTCAGGTCCTCTTATGGGCTCCCCCAGCTGGCGTCACACTGGAGCCTTTAACTGCACCATGCCTGGTGTGGGACCAAGAGAGAGGTAAACACCCAGAGCCTACTCTCCTTAATACTCCTGGACCCAACCTACTTAGGGACCTGGCCATTTGCTATCCACTCTGGGTCTTCTTTCTTCACCAGAAGAGCAGGCAGGACTTTCCTACTCTTTAAGAGGACCAGGGCTCTCCCTCTCCACAGTGAAGGAAAATGCAGACCTTTCTGGTTAGCATGCGCAAACACCTCAACCCAGTCAGCAGTGGTCAGGGTTGCACCAGCGGTCATGGTCTCCCCTCTAGGGACGCACCAATGCCATTTACAGAGGCTGCTGCTTCCCCCGGGGCACACAGTGGAGGGGAAAAGGTTTAAGGTTAAGAAATGAAATATGGGCATCCTGATAAGCTCTTGCAGAGGAAGCTCTAAGAGAAGCAAAAACACCTTTGGGAAAAAGTCAGAGTCGTAGTGCCTGTTAGCTCAGGTTTCAAGGTACAACTTCTTAACCAAGCTGCAAAAATTAGTGAATTCACCCTGCATTCAGGAAAGCAGACAGCACTTTCATGTAGAAATTTAAAGAACAGTCCTAGGTAGCACTGACCACTGTCATTTTTGCAATAAGCTCACGCAGTTATAGTAAAAATTCTGACAATGAACAATGCACGGCATGGTGCAAATGAGGCTACCAAATTCTGAAACTAATCCATGCACTTCCTCAAATTTTGCCTGGCTTGGAAAATCATAAAGGAAAATTCAGAGAGAATGGGAGTTCAGAAAAGTACAAAAGCTTTTCTTCTGAATTTTCTTTCTTTACATTGGCTGTCTACGCCAATGAAAGTAAAATAAGTTATAATCATTTCTGCATACTTTTTTTTATTAATAAGGAAATTATTTTCTTTGTCCTCCACTAAATAAATTAGCCTGACAAGAATGCCTGCCTATCTTGGTTTGGCCTTGCCCAGAAAATCTCTTTGGATAATTGTTTCACTCAGTCAACCAGTTTAAATATATATATATTTGACATATACCATTGTTTAATTTAAGGTGTACACATGTTAATTTGATACATGTATATACTGTAATATGACTGCCATTGTAGTGCTAATCAGCACCTCCATCACGTTATGTAATTATTATTTCTTTTCAGTGGTTGAGATCATTAAGTGCTAGTCTCGCAGTGAGTTTGATGATTACAGTCTGATATTGTTGATGATTTTAGTACAATATTGTGGTCCTCTGAATACTTACTATGTGCCAGGCATTATGTTAGGTGTTGGGGGCAGTAATGAATAACAAAAGAGCTACTGGCTCCAAGGACTTCACATTCCCAGGAGAGTTGATCTCTTTCGACCCAGTTATAATCTGGCAGTAAATTCATTTACCACTGCAAGGATAGTAACCACCTGCGATGCATTCCAAGACATCTTTTTAAAAAATTTTTTTAATGTTTTATTTATTTCTGAGAGAGATAGAAAGAGACAGCATGAGCAGGGGAGGGTCAGAGAGAGAGGGAGTTACAGAATCTGAAACAGGCTCCAGACTCTGAGCTAGCTGTCAGCACAAAGCCCGACGCGGGGCTCGAACCCATGAACCGCAAGATCATGACCTGAGCCGAAATCAGACACTTAACCTACTGAGCCACCCAGGAGCCCCCCGAGACATGTTGATCAGACTTCTGTATCTATAGAGAACCACTCAAATGAGCACTTGGCAGAGTTAGTTGCCAGAGTCTTGTGTCTACCTACTTAGACAACTTTCTTCTTAACCATTTAGGATCTAAAATTTATTTTTAAGAATTTATGATATAATATTAGAGGGAAAGGAGGGTGTGATCTGCCTAAAATAGTTTATATATAAATAAAATAAAACAATATGTAACACATAAAATATAGCTGTAGAAAACGGAAACCAACAAGATTTTAAATTATTGGTTTCGATTATACTTTAAGTTATATTCCAAGAGAAACAGGTTAAAATTTTAGCCTAGTAATGAATGATAATTATTTTATTTAGGAAAGACAATTTCAGGAGTTAGGTACAAAGAGAAATCTTTACTTTGAGAATTAGACTATCACAGACATGGTGGTGGTGGTAATGGTGGTGGTGATGATTAGCCTCAAAACATCACACAAACAGAAAAGGGCAGCCTAAGTTCTGAACCTGTTTCTTTCTAAGAAGAAAGACATAACTCTTGTAAAAGAAGGGAGGAAATACACATTTTCTCAACCATGAGGTGAAATGCAAAGTAATCCAGGATGCTACAACTTTCTCAATGGACTGTCAGTCAGAAAGTTTTTGAGAGAATCAACTTTTATTATATTTCTAAGTTGGTAATTGAGAAGGACACATCATAGTTCTCGCAACTCCCATATTAGTAATATCAGAAAATCCCCTAGGTTTTCACCTTTTCTGTTTCCACGTAGTCTGGTGGTTGTTAGTTTGGGTTTGCTGCATGTTACTTTTGAAAAGAAATGCTGACTAACTCATGTTTTGCAGTCTCCATATGTAGGACGTAAGTGACTAAATATGAGTCATGTTTGTGGTGCTAGTTCTAGAAGGAAATCTCTTCAAAAATAGGAAGAACTTGTGTTTCCAAGAAAATATTATTCCACAAGATGCAGCCTAGAGTCATTTTCTTCCTCACTCAAGGGTGTGTCATATTTTTTAAAAATTTTAAAAGGTACCCAATTTTCTTTACTCAGCTTGGATTTTCCTCCCTTTCACTTCAAGGCTAAAAACCCTTTGCCACATCCTTCATTAGAAGCCCCAAATGTGTACTCACGGTGCAAGATTATGGCTGTTAGATTTCAATGAAATTATGAAGAAAGTTCACTACCATGTGTCCATTCTATCCCAAATAATCTAGAAATTCAAAACATTAGAAGAATGATGTGGAAGGAAGTGACCTGTACAATATCAGATTTAATTACAAAACCGTAATAGCTATAATTAATACAAATGTAATTATGGAAATTGTACGGTGTCAAATTGGGATAGAGTTTAGCAAGTAGGCTGGGATTTTTTAAAAAAAATATGCTAGAACATGAAACAAAATAGGAAACACTGACAACTCAAAATTTCTGAGAACCCGAAGGTTCCCCAGGGATAGTATGTAAATATCTCCTGAGAGGAGATCATTGTAACAGCTATATATGTTAACATACGTCTTTTCAGTAAGAAAAAGACAAATAATCTTCTGGGAAAAAAGGATCAAAACTAACAAACAGGCAAGTCATAGAGTCAGCGTGAAACTGCCAATAAATACAAGCTCCAACTTGCCAGTGAGGTGGAGGGCGCACATGAAACCACACTGATATCAAGCACCTGGAGGCTCAGTCAGGAAAGGGTCTGACGTGGGCTCAGGACGCGATCTCACAGTCTGTGAGTTCGATCCCACATCGGGCTGTGTGCTGACAGCTCAGAGCTTGCAGCCTGCTTCAGATTCTGGGTCCCCTCCCTCTACCCCGTCCCACTTGCTCACTCCCTCTCTCAGAAGTAAATAAACATTAAAAAAATTTTTTAATAAAAAATAAAGCCACACTGATATCAATTCACACCGATAACATCGACATTTTTTAAAAGTAACTTTCTGATTAGTTAATAAATTCAGTTATAAACATGAAACAATACAGAAAGGGGCACATTCTTGTGCTCTGTCCACCCCATTTCCACCTGCTCTCCAGGTTATCGCTTCGGCCAACTGCATACATACAAATATATATTCTTATTTTTCTCCCCCTTTCTCAGATAAAAGATGTCATGCTATATTTAATGCTTTTTTTAAGGATATTATTTTTTTTTAATTTTTTAATGTTTTATTTATTTCTGAGAGAGAGAGACAGCGTGAGCAGGGGAGGGTCAGACAGAGAGGGAGACACAGAATCTGAAACAGTCTCCAGGCTCTGAGCTAGCTGTCAGCACAGAGCCCGATGTGGGGCTCGAACCCACGAACCGTGAGATCATGACCTGAGCCGAAGTCGGACGCTTTAACCAACTGAGCCACACAGGTGCCCCAAGAAATTTGAGTTTTCTTCTAATATATGCTCTTATAAACAACGCCTCAATAAATCCCTGAGTATATCATGTGTGTATGCTATTAACTCTTTAGAATAAATTCCCAAAAGTAAGACTGCTGGGTCAATGAGTAGCTGTATTACCAGATAAAGTCAGTGCTAACTGCTGGTAAGCCTGTGGAGTAGGGAGAACTCGTACATCTTTCTATTGGGTCTGGTAAGTCCATGCACACACTTTGGAAAAGAATTTGGCAATTCTCTAGTACGGTTAAAATCCACATACCCTCTAGCTCAGAAACTCTACTCCTAGGTGGAAACCCTCAATCAACCATGAGTCATGATTAGCCAGTTAACAGCTTTGTGACAGTAAAACAAAAAGAGAGAGAGAAGAGAAAATGATCTGTTTTAGAACTATGGTATATTTGTAAAATGTAATATAAGACAATAGTGAAAAATGAATGAATGGAAGCCAAAGGTATCAACAGTCTCTGAACTCCTCTGTGTCTTGGACAGTTACTTAATTGGTCTATGCCTGAGTTTCTCCACCTGCAAAGCAGGGATAATACAACACCTACCACACGGGACTGCTAACAGCCGTCAAGTTTTGTAGCACAGCACCCGGCATGTGGTAACTATTAGAGATGTGTTTATTAAATGGAATGAATCTCACAAGTACAATGATGAGTGAAATATCAAGTTTCAGTAACTGACATTCAGCACAATACCATGTGTAGAAAGCATAAAAAACACAGAAAATACCACATATTACTACTTACAAATGTAGACACATTATAAACATACAAAGAAAGGGTAACACTAGACTGCAGTGAGTGGCACTGGAGCAAAGGGTGATCTGGAGGCAGCATTAGGAGCATTCATCTACGTGTCTATTTTTGTAGTAGGATCATACTGTTTTTATTACTATTGCTAGCAATCAAACATATATATAGCTAATTATTACTCTATTTATATAATAAACTATTGGAACTATACCAAAATAAGAAGCTTCTGCACAGGAAAGGAAAGCACCAATAAAACAAACAATGGGAGAAGATATTTGCAAACAACATACATGCTAAGAGGTTAATATCTCAAATATATGAAAAATGTACACAACACCAAAAAATCAAAATAATGCCAGTAAAAAATGGGCAGAGGACCTGAACAGCTATTTTTTCCAAGTAAGACACACAAATGGCCAGCAGACACATGAAAAGATGTTCAACATCACTAACCATCAAGAAAATATAGCTCAGGGGCGCCGGGGTGGCTCAGTCGGTTAAGTGTCTGACTTCAGCTCAGGTCATGATCTCACAGTTCGTGGGTTCGAGACCTGTGTCGGGCTCTGTGCTGACAGCTAGCTCAGAGCCTGGAGCCTATTTCAGATTCTATATCTCCCTCTCTCTCTGACCCTCCCCTGCTCACGCTGTCTGTCTCTCTCTCACACACAAATAATTTTAAAAAAGAAAATATAGGTCAAAACCACAACGGTATCACCTCACACCAGTCAGTATGGTTTGTATCAAGAAGACAAGAAATAACAAGCGTTGGCAAGGATGTAGAGAAAAGGGAACTCTCATGCACTGTTGGTGAAAATGTAAACTAGTACAGCCACTGTGGAAAACAGTATGAAAGTTCCCTAAAATATTACAAATAGGACTACCATATGATCCAGCAATTCTACTACTGAAGTACTACTACTGAGTACTTACCCAAAGAGAAAATCACTAATTCAAAAAGACATATACATCCTTCTGTTCATTACAGCATTACTTACAATGGCCAAGATATGGAAGCAATTTGTGTCCACTGATAGATAAATGAATAGATGTGGTGTGTGTACGCACGTGTGCGCACACACACACGCAAATATTATTCAGCCATAAAAATGAAGGAGATCTTGCCGTTTGTGACATGAAAGGACCCAGAGGGCATTTTGCTAAATAAAACACAAGACATATAGAGAAGGACAAATGCCACATTATTTCACTTATATGTGGAGCATAAAAAACAAACTATAAGTGAACACACACAGACAGAGAAACCAACAAAAACCAGAAATGGACTCATCGATAGAGAGCAAGCTGGTGGTTGCCACAGGCGAGAGGGGGAAGGATGAGAGAAATAGGTGAAAGGGATTAAGAAGTACAAGTTTCCAGCTATAAAATAAATGAATCACAGGGATGAAAAGTACAGCACAGGGAATACAGTAAATAATACTGTAGTAATGTGTGGTGACGGTACTTACTGCGGGGACATCACCTAATGTACAGAATAGCCCAACCACTATGTGATGCACCTAAAACTAGTATAACAATGTATGCCAACTATGCTTCAATAATAAAAATTTTTTAAAAATGTAACTGATAAGCAGGAGATAAGATCTAAATGGCCCATAAGCATATATAAATCAAGAAATCAAAGGATGTCCGCTAAATTAAAATGAGAAATCGCTTCTCCCACTATCAAACTGTCAAGAAAATTGTTTAAGAACCAAACTCTTTCCCATTGAGGGCACAAGAAAGCAAGCATTCTCATCCACAGCTGCTGAGAATTTACATAAATCTGCAGCTTTTTGGACAAGATGTACAAAAATTTGTGTCAACTTTTTGACATAGAAATTTGACCTTTAGGAATCTGTCTTTAAAAATAATTTTAACACGGGCAACGACAGAATTACCAGGATGTTCTCACTACATTATTTAAAATAGTGAAAAATAATAAAAATCTGAATGTCTAAAAATTGGAGATTAGGTAGACAGAATATGATCCAGCCAGACTACATAATTGTTATATGATGTTTTTAAATGATATAAAATAGATTTATCAACAAGAAAAGACAATATGACGTGTGAAGAAAAGCAGAACACAGGCATGTGTCCATATGATTCCATTTGTATTACAAACATTCAGCGGCGCCTGGGTAGCTCAGTCCATTAAGCCTCTGACTTCAGCTCAGGTCATGATCTCATGGTTAGTGGGTTCGAGCCCCGCATCAGGCTCTGTGCTGACAGCCAGCTCAGAGCCTGGAGTCTGCTTCAGATTCTGTGTCTACTTCTCCCTCTCCCTCTGACCCTCCCCTGCTCACGCTGTCTCTCTCCCTCTCTCTCTCTCAGAAATAAATAAAACATAAAAAAAAAAAACATTCAAACAGTCCATTTTCCTGTGTATTTTCCAATTTTAAATAATTAAATGCATTATTTGCATAAGAAAAGAGTTATTAAATTATGCAGATGAGAAGAAAATCTGAAGGAAAATTTTAAAACCTGACAAAAGAATGGGAGGGCAATGAGATGGTGGGTATTTGTTCTTTTTTCTCTCTTTTCTAAGTTCTCGGCAACATTCTTACCCTCCTTTTATTACTTAAAATATTTAAAAACCTCATAGGGAAACCAACATGGATCTGTAAGCCCATCATTAGGGACGATATGGGACTGGTTCTGCCCCTCTGGCCTCCCTTCCTCTCCATACGCCTTTCTGTAAACGCAGACACATCTCGCCACATTTCTCTGGGGAAGCCTCCTGGTGACCTTGTGTACCAATCAGGAGTTCAGGGAGGACAGGGAGGAGCTGGTGCCAGACGGCCATCAGAGTCTCTGTGACTTCCCCACTAATCACTCACTGCACTATAAAAAGAGCTGATGGGAGAACTTGGCCCTGGCTAGCTCTCCCACCCACTGCCTGGCCATGAGGCCCATTGGGCTTCTGTGGGCTTCCATCTCCTCAAACACGAGAGGGAGAGTGTGTATGTGTGTGTGTGTGAGGGGATCTCTAAGGTTCCCTCTGCCAAACTTTCTGATTCTCGGTGCAGGTAGGAAATGTAGCCGGTAATAACCAAGGGAGACTGCACATCTACAGATCTGTATCTACAAAGACTTATAAAAATTAAAGCAGATTAAGTCAGCCATGCTAAGCTATGCGAATCATGAGTTCACTTGGATTAAGTATCTGGATTTCATTAGATGCCTGCACTCACTCGGTAGTCTCTATTCACATCGCTGAGCTGCCAGTAATTATCAGGGAGGCCCATTCGCTTGTATTCTTCACTGAGATCAATCAGCATCCAGCCCTGTTCTCTTTCTTCTTTGTCCAGCTTGGGGTTGAATGAAAAGCAGTATAACTCCTCGTATTTCACTGCAAGAAAAGGGAGAATAAAGCCAAATCAAGCTAAGTCAAAACTAGAACCGAATCTCCCCAAACGCGCTCTGTCTGGACTAGAGGACAGCCAGAGGCCAGGCTGGCTCCGGACCCCTTGGGACACTCTCTGGGCAGGTACAGACACCTCCTCCTGGCAAAACCATGAAGACCTTGGGACAAATGAACTCAACTTTGAAGAGCTTCTTTCCTTTCAGAAACCAGGCCTTCCCCATTTTGTGTTTTTGTTTTTTCTTTTTTAAAGTTTCTCTGGAAGGCAAACATATTCCCCAGATCACATAAGAAATGGAGGTTAAAAATTAATTAAGAAGGCAGAGATCATTAGACATCAGGAACTCAGTCTGTTCATGTATATTGAGCTTGGATTTGGGCCAGTTTCTCTAAAGTAGACAGAGGTCCAGACCACTGCCATATTTTGATGTTCACATTATTAAAACAATAAAAAAATAGCAACGAAAGGCTGTGGACTGTAAGGGCACCTGGGTGGCTCAGTTGGTTAAGCGTCCGACTTCGGTTCAGGTCGTGATCTTGCAGTTTGTGGGTTTGAGCCCCACATCGGGTTCTGTGCTGACAGCTCAGAGCCTGGAGTCTGATTCAGATTCTGTGTCTTCTTCTCTCTCTACCCCTCCCCCACTCGTGCTCTGTCTCTCTCTCTCTCAAAAATAAACAAACGTTAAAAAATTTTTAAAGAAAGGCTATGTAATGCATTTAAGTGTTTGCCCTGAAAATATCTGAACTTTAGCAAACACATCAATGTCATAATTACACTACTCATACAAAATTCATAGGATTCATAAGAAAATCAATTCATAGTGACAGGCCCCCTGGTCATGAGGGGCAGATTCAAGGATGCATGACGAAACTCTCCTTTCAATTCTGCAAGGATGTCTTTTGACTTTACGTAACACCCTTTCTGCTTGTGAGGCCAAGCTCCACAGCTTTCCCCATTCAAAGCTAAAATCTGATTGTCTGGCTCTGATCCCACCCTGGTGAAGGAAGCATTTAGGCCAGTGCTCCTCAACAGAAGTGCCACATATGTCACCAAGCCACATATGTCACTTAAAATGCCTTTGTAACCACATTAAAAAAACTAAAAAGAAACAATGAAATTAATTTTACTAATATGTTTCATTAGTAACCCAATATATCCAAATATTATCATGTCAACATGTGCATAATATAAAACATATTAGTGTTGTATATATCTTGCTTCGCAATGCCTTTGAGATTCCCTGCTAGCTCCATTTCAAGTGCTCACTGGCCACATGCAGCTGCTGGCTACCATACTGGATAGTGCAGATCCCAGCATCAACAGTAAAGAGAAATTATGGCTGATACTCACTAAACCCTTATTTCATTCCAGATTCTGTTGCTAACAAATGTATTAACCTACAATGGGCCTCAGTTTCCGGATGAGAAATTGGAGGCAAAAAGAGGTGAAGGAACCTCTGGGCTGAAATTCGGCAACCTGGCTGTAGAGTGCATTCTCTGAATCACACGCACTGCCCGTTTAAGGCAGATCCTTCTCCCTTCTCCCCAGACGGACCACCTTCGTGTCTTTTCTTTCCGTGTGCCATCCTCTACCTTCCTTTTCCCCTCACGGTTTTCTGAGGTCCCCTCATCTATTCCTTAATCTGTTGACAACATTCAGATGTGGATAATTTAATTGCTCTTAAACATGGGTCTGGGGACGCCTGGGTGGCTCAGTCAGTTAAGGGTCTGGCTTCGGCTCAGGTCATGATCTCACGGTTTGGGAGTTCGAGTCCCGCATCAGGCTCTGTGCTGACAGCTCAGAGTCTTGGGCCTGCTTCAGATTCTGTCTCTCTCTCTCTCTCTCTCTCTCTCTCTCTCTCTCTCTCCTTCTCTCTTAAAAATAAACATTAAACAACAACAACAACAAAAAATGTGTCTGGAGACCCAACAAAGGACCTCACCACCAGCAAAAGGCCACAGTAACACATAGGCAACCTAAGATCTAAACTCAGTTTCAGGCTTGTGATTACTATTGAAATGACTCATTTACATGGAAGAAGAGAGATAAGGGTCATATTTTCATTACACATGTCTTCTTTCTTGTAGAAACAAACAAACAAACAAACAACTATAGGGTATCCGTAAGATAAACTTCAGCTTACTTACTTATCCGTAAGATAAGTTCAGTTTCTCTTGATATCGTTTATTCTAAACTTCAAACTTTAGAATATGGATGATATCAATCAATTAGAAAATACACACCTACAAGAGCATGTGTACACACAGAGGAGATGCTCTCAGTAGGAACTGGTTCTTATAACCTTAGCTTATTGAGCAGACAGCACATAAAACTGAGATCCATTTCTGGGAACCACTGGCTCGACACTGACACATCTTTTCCATCTCTCAGTACCATTTTCATGACTCAGGCCTCTGATATCATAATGTTAACCGCAAATGCAATTTGTTTAAGAGGGCAACGGAATCTCTTGAGAAAGCCTCGGTTCTCTCAGTGAAAGAAGAGCTTATGAAGGCAGGGTGAACACTGGAAGCTAAGTGCCCTTTGTTAAGTAGTTACAGACAGGGGCAAAGGCAGAAGAAAACCACTGGAGGACACGTAGTTTTCAGTGGATGGGCTCACGCCTGCTGTCACTGGGAAGAGGCAGAGACACTGTACACAAAGCAAGAAGAACTTACGCAGACATGAACAAGGTTATTCGTGAATTCCGAACTGGGAGGCATCAGAATGCATTGCCACTAAAACTGTGAAATGTTTTCTCTGTGTTCTTTTTTAAGCAAAAGGGTGATCAGTCACACCTCTAGCCCAATTTAGGTAAAATTCTTCATGAGGGAAAAGAAATCCTCATTTTTGTCACCCAAAACTCAGTCTTATTAACATAGGCAAGCTTCTCACAAAAAGAAAAACATTTCAGGAAAAGTGATGTAGAAATCATTCTAGTATTTACTTTACTGACCTACTGAAATCTTACCACTGCTAGGCAAAGGCAGACTTGAAGGTTTTTCTATCTATCAGAAAGAAAAAGGACAATTTCTAAAAACTGCATTAAGAATGGGTAGCATGGGGGTGCCTGGGAGGCTCAGTCAGCTAAGCATCCAACTCTTAGTTTTGGCTCAGGTCATGATCTCACAGTTCATGAGTTCAAGCCTCACATTGGGCTCTGTGCTGACAGTGGGGAGCCTGCTTGGAATTCTCTCTTCCTCCCTCTCTCTGCCCCTGCAGTCAGTCTCTCTCCCGCCCCCCTCAAAATAAATAAACTTAAAAAAAAGAATGGGTAGCATCTCAGTAATGTTTCTAGAAAAGCCGAATCGGTGTTTCAGGACTCAGCAGGCAGCATGCGAGATGCACGCTATAACTGACCCTGTGTTACTGGAGGACTATGGTTCGTCACACACCCCTCACCCGAGAACAACTCGTCTCTGCTCTCGGGCCCGTACCTATTGCCCCATCGACGCCTTCGCTCTTAGGTAAGCCTTCTTCCTACTCCCTGGGCAAGATTTATGTCATCGAGGGGCAACTTTCAAGTTGGAACCACCAAGCCCACAAACGGCCCGGTCTCTGCACCCTACCTCTGCTCCTTCTCTTCCATAAAAATGGGAAGGGTGTTCACTCGAGCAGATAAGGCAGCTGTGGGTAAGACAAAGCAACGAGAGAAGGAAGAAAAATGACCTGGTCTGTTTTCCAGGTATCGTGCTAAATGGTTATGAAAATAGAATATTTCCGGGAAAAAAAATGAAGGAAGAATCATGATAGACTAATTGGGGGAAACAAAAGGTAAACTAATAATATAATGAAAAACACTTTAAAAAGAAAAAGAAAACTTACAACACCAATGTAAAACCTCAATAATACAATTATGTCACTGACTGCTTCCCTTTTGCACATTTTTTAAAACTGAAAGGAAAAATAAAACACAAACGGGCATTAGCAGAATGTGGTGGTGGGTCTGGGAAGGGAAACAGAGACATCAGAAAGACACACATATGTGGGGTTCATGAGAACCAAAAGTAACAGTTGAAAGCTAGCCTGTTCCCAACCTTCTGCTTCATTCAAGCGACCTAAATGGAGTCGAAAAGCCATTTAAAGAGGGTCAGGAAAGAACACAGCTATTACTGGATTTGGCAGCTTTAGAAGAAAAATAAGGAAGAGGCGCCTGGGTGGCTCAGTCCGTCAGACTCTTGATTTCAGCTCAGGTTATGATCTCACCATTTGTAGGTTTGAGTTCTGCTTCAGGCTCTGTGCCAGGCTTGGGATTCTCTCTCTCCCTCTCTCTGCCCTTCCCCAGCTCACTCTCTCTAAAAATAAGGAGAAGAAGAGGAAGAAGAGGAGGAGGGGAGGAAAAGGAAGAAGCAGCAGAAGCAGCACAAGGAAGGAGGAGGAGGAGGAGGAGGAGGAGGAAGAAGAAGAAGAAGAAGAAGAGAGAGAAGAGGGAGAAGAAGAGGAAGAGGAAGAGGGAGGAGGAGGAGGGGGAAGGAGGAGGAGGAGGAAGAGGGAGAAGAAGAAGGGGGAGAAAAATAAGGAGACATTTGTTGTCTATTTTCAACCAACAAGTGTTTGAATTAAACACCAGTGCTATGGAGGATAATTCTTGGTCGAAAAGAACTGGACTCAGAGATGATGGTCATCAATAAAAAGGAAATTACCACTGCAGACACTGTATAAGCAGCAGTGACTTAGACAAGGACGTAAAAAGTTAAATTAAACAAGTGAGAGGGCACCTGGGTAGTTCAGTGGGTTAAGCCTCCGACTTCCACTCCAGGTCATGATCTGATGGTTCATGAGTTCAAGCCTCCCCTCAGGCTCTGTGCTGACACCTCAGAACTTGGAGCCTGCTACGGCTTCTGTGTCTCCCTCTCTCTCTCTGCCCCTTCCCTGCTTGTGCTCTCTCTCAAAAAAATAAATAATAAGTATTAAAATTTTTTTAAATAATAAAAATAAACTGAGCAAATGAAATGATGTCAATCATGAGATTTTGTAAAATCGTAATAAATGTGAAGATTTGAGGACTAAGATGAACTTGGAAAAAAACACTGTAGTCTCGAAAAAAAATAGGAAAATAAACAAATAAGATGGTTCAAATGTTAAAGGACCAACACTAATTGATACAAAAATAAACAGTAGAAAACAAATCAGCGCAAGGAGAGAAGAAGGCACATGGGAAAAATGGAAGTTCTCTGAGAAACAGGTCTTTTCATCTGAAAAATGTATATCCTTATTGGTACACTGGATCTATTTTTCATTGGGGCCAAACCTTTACTTTAACCTAAATTGTTCTTTATTTGGATTTAAGGAGCTTACTGAATTTGGCTACATTAATTTTTGATTCTTACCAATGTGAATTCACACAAAAGACAAACCAGTAAAAGCTCACTAGATTTTTTAGTAGTTTGATGTACCCTTATCCCAGAAATCCAAATTCAGTGAGGAGAGGATCTCGAGAGCTCTGAAAATATCTCCTTCATAGGACTTGACTTAAATGGTCTCTCAAACATTTCTTCTTTTGTGGGGGGGAAAAAAAAAAAAAAAGTTGTCCTCTATAGGACCTGTAGTTTAGCTGTGTGTCCATAAGGGTAGCTGAAAACTGGCGATTTGTTTGGTGACTAACCAGAACAACCACAGGGAGCTATATCGTGCTACTAGCCTTCAAAGTACACTACACCCCCCACCCCCCCACACACATTCTGATATACTTAGAGGAGGGGGAAGGTGTAATTTGTAAAAGATCCTCAGATGGCTCTAATAAGCTACCCCTATTCCTAGCTGGGACCCCCTCCTCCCTTCCCTACCTCCACCCAGATTCGAAAGCCTGCTTCCAAGGTTATAGGCTGTAATGTGTCCTAATTTTAGCACTGCCTCTAACATTAAACTGTGCAACTGTGTGGGTTCTATTTCATCTTCCCACACTTATTCAAGTACTATGTTTTATGTAAACTGGCATCTCTAATTCCAGCGTTTCAAAATGCTGGTGGCTTTCTAAAAATCTTCTAAGGTAATGGGTTAAATTCAATTAACTACTCTCATTTCCTTTCTTGCTCTCTGGCTGTGTCTAACACCTAACTCCCAAATGCCCCCTGTAAGAAAAAGTGTGTGTTTTAAAAAATGAGGAACACAGAGGTTTTCCTCCCTGGGGGCCCTTGCAATGAGTCCTGGGTGCTCCCTGTCATCACCGGCCAGAGCCCTCACAGCCAGTGTCATCTGCCCTTCCAGCCACTCAGCTCTTTCCCAGTTCTCGGGGCTATTCCTAAATCCCATTAATCCGGTCAGAGCACATTTATTATCCAGTACTCCCATTAATCAGTGACACAGAAATTGCTGGCACACAATTCTCCTCACAATTCCTGCTGCACGCAACCTCACATACATCTTCCCAGAACTTCTGTTCCAATTATAGTGTCCCCTCTAAAAAGTTCAACTGCTTTTCTGGCTCACTCTGCAGTTCTCTGCAACACACGGAGATGAAAGAGCCTGAGCCTGCTGCCCTGAAAGGGGAGCAAAGTCAAGTCAAAATTAGCAGATTCTGACAGCTCCCTGGCATCCCGTTCATTAAACAGCTTCAGTCCTTCATTATCTACAGACGATACATCACATTATAAGAAATGGAGGACCCAGCCAGACCTCTTGCAGCATCTGCGATCAAACCTCTTGCCCTGAATCAAAAAGCATTTAGCAAAGTAACTATAAAGAAGGATCCGATGTCCCTCCTCAGTGACTTTGGTGTAACACTACCATGGATGTTACTCTTATATAAAAGATTCATTTTTCCTGAATTCCCCCCAGAAAGTCAGATGTCGATTTCTTTTAGACAAAGGACAGCACAACCCATACAGCCACACAGAGAGCCCAGAAACACTTCTCTAGAGGCGCACAGTAAGCTCTAAGTCTGAAGACCTCAAACTGAGAAACTGAACAAGAGAGTAATTGTCAGCACCTGTGTTAACATTCTGCCGACAACCCTTACGGAGGTTTTGTTTAAGAGAGTCAACATATCCACACGGTGAACATAACCGATGTTAACGATGGTCCAGTTATACCAACCTTGGGAAGCACACGTTACCATCAAGAAGCAATAGAAACCAAACCTTGATGGGCGTCTGGGTGGCTCACTTGGTTGAGTGTCCAACACTTGGTTTTGGCTCCTGTCATGATCTCATGGTTCTTGAGTTGAAGCCCTGCATCAGGCTCTGTGTTGACAGCGCGGAGCCTGCTTAGGATTCTCTATTTCTCTCTCTCTGTTTCTCTACCTCTGCCCTGCTCGCTCGCTCTCAAAATAAATAAATAACCTTAAATTAAAAAAAAAGAAGAAGAAACCAAACCTTCAATGCCCCAACAGGGGAAACTGCACTAGAACTGTTTGATATCAATGCCTTCCATACAAAACAATTTGTCAGTTTTATCTCAGGCTTCAAGCAAAGTGGCTTGACCATTATAGTATGGGAAGAGCATCATTCTACAATGGTTTTGCTCCAAAGGGAAAATGTGCTCTAACCCCCTCTGCCAAGATAAAGTGAATACTGAACACAATGAAAGTGAATACTGAAAACAGTAAATAACTCAGAGAGAATCCCTAAAAGGCAATGAATCATTCAGAATACTTGGCCTCGTCTGAGGACCGGGATAACATATAATTCCTAGAACGCCCTAATTCTCAGACTATATGTATTTCTTGAACATGATTTGTGAACTTGAAGGCACGCACATAAGAAATGCGGAGGTGGTCCGCCCTACCTGGCCGAGCAAGGCGTATCAGAGAGATGTACACATCATGGCAGTCTCTTTCCTGGGGAATGATGAGCTGTAACAGCTGAAAGTTCTTGCAGCGAATCAGTAGAGGGCACCCAGTAGCGGCTGTGGCCTGTTTTTCAATGGTGGAAATCTGACTGTGAAGAATCTACAACCAAAAGTCATGTGGGTAAGCTAAGCACAAAGAAGTGACAAACAAGACACGGAGTAACACAGATCTCTGAGGCACGCAGACGAGAAACACTCCCCAAACTTTATCCAGCTCAACACCTGCATTCAGATGACAAGGGCTGAGAGGTTCTGGGAAAGATCGGTCTAAACATACCATTTTTTCATTACCAAGCCTTCTGGTATCCAGGCTGATTATTTGGAGCAAAGTATTCAGCATATAACTTTGTACAAGTCCAGGTAAGGGAACATTTTGGTAGTCAAATGTTGAATGAGCTTAATAGCTAAAATTAAATAAGGTCATGAGAAGTTAGTAAAATAAACCTTGCAATCAACAAATGTTAAGAGATGGCTCCACTGGGAGGTGCCACCATGCTCCTAAATTCCACATGGAATGCTCAAGTTCAATAGCAACTTGAGATTGTTGTTTTCTAAGCTGCCGGTGGCCAAGGAGGCTGCAGAAGAGATTTATGTTCAGGAAAATCATGCTGAAGTACCTCTCTCTGGTGTTTTGAGGGGAGAGGGTCCCTGCTCAGCCCTCAACAGCAGCACTCATAATTTTTTTTTTTGAGTACAGTTGACACACAGGGTGACATTAGTTCACCCTGTGACTCACCAACTCTGTACATCACACTGCACTCACACGTGCAGTTACCATCCACCACCATCCTTCCCCGTGAAGTAATGCCTGCCACTTTCTGCTTAGAACGTATCATCTATGCAATATAGAAGAGGGAAAGTCTACAATTCAGGGATTCTGGTTACAGTCATCATGTCATAGTTGGGTGAGTCTATAAAATAAGAAGTATCTAATGGTCTCATTATTAAGTAGCAGAAACGTCTGCCAATGGGACTCTTCCCTAGCTTGTCTTCTCTTTTGAATTATCAGGAAAATGAAGCGATATAATAAAATGACTAAACGGCCTGCATAACTGGATCCTACAAATAAACTGTATCGCAAATAAAGCACTACACAAATGCTATATCTGGCACTGATTATTCTCGAATGTCTACTTGACAGCTGTGACATGAAGCCTTATATCTCTGGCTACTTCTAGACTGGTCTTTGATGATGTTCAAATAATTAGTCTTTAAAATGAACAAGTGGGGGGCGCCTGGGTGGCTAAGTCAGTTAAGCATCTGACTTTCGCTTAGGTCATGATCTCGCAGTTCGTGGGTTCAAGCCCTGCGTCGGGCTCTGTGCTGACTGCCAGCTCAGAGCCTGGAACCTGTTTCAGTCTGTGACTCCCTCTCTCTCTGACCCTCCCCTGCTCACGCTGTCTCTCTCTCTCTCCTAGAAATAAATAAAAAATAAAATAAAATAAAACAAAACAAAACAAAACAAAATAAAATAAAATGAACAAGTGGATCAAGTGGACTCGACTCCATGCAGAAAAAGGCAAAGCTGACCTTCCAAAAACAGTTCTGAGCACGCAAATGCCAGAAGCCCCCCACCCCACCCTGAGGCCAAACAAAAGAACGGAGGCTCAAACTTGTTACATGAAACAACAGAAAACACGTAAAGCCAAAAACAGAAACATACCCATGTTTCTTTTCTTGTGTCAGGTGCATTTTCCACGAATATTACATGAGTAGCCGTCAAATACAGAGTACCTAGGGCTGCTTTTTTAGAAGACATTCGATCTACCAAGCGGACATTTTCAACCTAGAGAAACCATTTTGACAGAGTTATAATAAAGCAAAAGACTAATCATAAAAATTAATAGTAAGCAGGTAATCTTATGTTTAACCCAATAATTTTGAGAACTATCCCAATAAGAAAAACCAAAACTTTCCCCCTTTACTTAGACCTCAGAATATGTTTCTGTATATCAAAAGATTAAAATTTACTAATTACTTAATATATAATTTTATTTTCTTTTTAAAATTTTTTTAATGTTTATTCATTTTTGAGAGAGAGAGATAAGCATGAGCAGGGAAGGGCAGAGAGGCAGAGAGACACAGAATTCAAAGTAGGCTGCAGGCTCTGAGCTGTCCGTGTAGAGCCCAACATGTGGCTTGAACTCATGAACCATGAGATCATGACCTGAGCTGAAGTCAGATGCTTAACCGACTGAGCCACCCAGGCACCCCAAAATATAATTTTAAACATATCACAGATTTATAGACCTATTCTTTAAGAATACCCTTTCTGTATTTTAAATAAGTATTTTTATTTCACCATAATTATAGAATTTTAGTTTAAAGCAGGACGTGTATGCATCAAAGTGCGGTTTTTACAATAACCATGTATGAATTATGTCTATCGAAAGGACAATAAGGTATTTAACAATTTATTTTTCCAGAGCAGAAATGGCCTCAAAGCAGCTTGCTTCCACATAAACTAGCAGGAAATACACATATGTGAGCCAAAAGTATCCAAGGAATGTGCTGCATGTTTACAAGGAAAAGCTACCAAATTAAGCTGCTCACATTCATTTATAATTAAACGTCTCTAGTAAATGGAATTTTTATCACCAACCTTCAAATGGTTAAGGGAGGTAACTGGAAACAATGTTTATCAACATATCTCTCTTAGAAGCAGAGCAGTTTTAAGGATATGTGCAGTGGGATGATTCCAGTATGAAATAGAATTGAAATTCTAAGACAACCTCTACAGGACAATAAAACCTGAAGGAACTATGACTAACAAGGCAGAGACACCACAACCACCTGATGGACATTCCTATAAAGATGGCAGCTCCACAATGCTACTTACTACTGGCAAGGATCAACCGTCTACAGACACCGGCTAAGCCCTCACCCCCAAGTCAGGATGGTTACTCGCTTCCTTGAGGCAGCGTCAGGGACTAGTGAATCGTACTGGCTCCAGTCTTCAGTCTAAATGGACGCTGCATCCCTGATGTATTTGGGGGAGCACAGGGCTTCTCGGCGGCTCCCGGGAAGACCTAGGGGGATACCAGAACTAATGGGCATTCCTCAGGACACCAAAGTCCTGATGCACTCAAGACGCTCCACTGCCCCATTCTTCTCTGACCCTGGAACCAAAACAGCCTTCCCATCCTACTTCTTCCCAGTTTTCAGGGATCTGAGGAGGTAAATAAAGAATGAAGTATACAACATACTCTTTTATTCATACGATGTAGTCTGAGGTGGTGGCATGATGCCCGAAGCCTTGTGAATGTTAAAGATGCTAATTCAACAACGGGGTCTTAACAGACCAGCTCATAGTTTTAAAAAATATTTCTTTTGTTACTCTGTTACTGATATGCTCCACATTTTTTTTTTTGAGAGAGAGAGAGAGAGAGAGAGAGCACAAGCCGGGGTGGGGGGGGGGGGGCGCGGAGAGAGAATCCCAAGCAGGCTCCACACTGTCATTACAGAGCCCAACATGGGGTTCAAACCCACGAACCATGAGATCATGACCTGAGGTGAAACCAAGAGTTAGACCCTCAATTGACTGAGACATCCAGGCATCCCTGATATGCTCCACATTCTTCCACTTGGTTATTCCTCATTGTGTCTCTTTTGTAAATGGTCTTCGTATCACTGGTTTACCTTCCTACTAAGTGATCATCATTCCTTATGTACTCATAAAAAGTGTTTATTAGTAAGGACAGTAGCCTACAGCCTAATTTTTATTTGTGTGTTTTACAACTTCCTGTTTACCCAATTCTTTAACTGCTTCTACTCATTTTTTCAATGAAGTCTCTTGGATGCTCTGGGTAGACAGGAATATTTTCTGTAATAATGTTTCTTCTTTTCTGGTATTCATACATCTTTTCCTTTCCTTGTTTCTATGGCATTAACTAGACACTTCAGACTAGAAGTAAATAGCAGCACTGACAACAGTCACCCATGTTTTCATTTCTTTTTTTTTAATTTTTAAATCTTTATTTATTTTTGAGAGAGAGAGGGACAGAGTGGGAGTGGGAGAGAGAGGGAGACACAGAATCCAAAGCAGGCTCCAGGGTCTGCACTGTCAGCACAGAACCCAATCCGGGGCTTGAACTCATCAACTGTGAGATCATGACCTAAGTGGAAGTCAGACGCTTAACTGACTGAGCCTCCCAGGTGGCCCATCATTTCTTTTTTTAAAATAACATCTTTATTGAGATTTAATTCACATTCCATACAATTCACCTACTGTACTGGTCAGTGGTTTGCAATATAATATATTCACAACCTTGCACAACATTACCACAATCAATTTTAAAACATTTTCATCACCCCAATAAGAAACCCTGTACCCATTAGCATTCACTCTTCATTTCTTCCCCACCCATCAACCTACTTTCTGTCTCTGTGGATTCACCTGCTCTGGACAGTCCTAGTTTCACATAACCAGAGCCCGACAGCATGCTGTAGTGTGCGACTGGCTTCCTTCACTTGGCATCATGTTTTCAATCCAAGTTGATCCATGTAGAATGCATCATTACTTCATTTCCTTTTATTGCCAAATAATATTTCATTACATAGATATGGATATGTCACATTTATATTTCTCCGTTTGTCAGTTGATGGACATTTGAGTTGTTTCTACTTTTTGGTTATTAGGAATAGTGCTGCTTTGAACATTCTTATACAAGCTTTTATGAGGAAAATCATTTTCATTTCTCTTGGATATACACACACACACACACACACACACACACACACACACACGTAGAAATGGAATTAATGTGTCATATACAAGCCTGCTTAACATTTTGAGGAACTCACACATTATTTTCCAAAGCAGTTGTACCATTTTACATTCCTACTACCACTGTATGAAGGTTCCAATTTTTCCACATCTTTGACAACACTTTTTATAATCTTTCTTTTTTACTACAGTCATCCTAGTAAGTATAAGAAAGCATCTCACTGTGATTTTCATTTGCATTACCCTGACGATTAATGATGTTGGGCATCTTTTCACGTGTACCTCTGTTTTTAATGGGAACACTTCCAATACTTCACCACTGAGTTTGAGGATTTATCACATTATGGAAGTGACCTATTCTTAGTTCACTAAGAATTTTGATTTTTGAAAATCAGGAGTGAACACTGTGCTTTTTGAATACATATTTGGATGAATATTTCCTTTTTATTTTGGTCCTATATAACCAATAATAGCAATAGATTTCTTAATCTTTAAAGAAGTCTTGAATTCTTAGAGTTGGCGTTTTAACATTTTGTATATTTTACCATGTCTGTTTTGATTTCTGTTATGGCTTTGCATTTATGCTTTTAAGAGAGACTGACATGTACCAGCCTATTCTACTTTTATCAGGTGACTTCATCGTGGTTATGATGACAGTCATTAATCAGGAAGATTTATACAACTTATTAATCATTTTTGAAGCAAATACAGGCACTTCTTTATATAGAAATACATCTTTAATTATCCTTTCAATTTCTTATGTGGTTATATATCTACTTGATGTTACCATTTTCTTTTTAAAGATTTTTTTTTAAGTAATCTCTACACCCAATGTGGGGGCTTGAATTCACAACCCTAAGGTCAAGAGTCACACACCCCACTGACTGAGCCAGCAAGGTGCCCCTCAATGTTACCATTTTTTACTAAATCTCATTTGTACATCTATTTTCTTTACAAATTATCTTCTAATTGCTGGTGTCCAAATTCTCATAACTTTTTAATTCCTATCTGCAGATGAATCCCTCCCTCTTTATCCTTTCTCTCATTCCTAAATTGCGAATTATGCTTTTACTTTCTCTTGATTAGACGGGCAAAGGGTTTTCTTCAAAATAAAAGGTCTTGGATTTATATATAATACTTTTTCTCTTTTCTGTTTAATTTCTGCTCCTTTGTTAGTAATAGTTCGGCCTTCCTCGGTATACCATGTGGCTTTCTCTGTTCCTTCATTCATTTCTAAACTCTCAGGCTTAAAAGTCCACTCATTCATTGTCATTCTTTTTGTTTAATAACAAGCATTTAAGTCCAATCATTTCCCTCCAAGTAAATCTTTGGCTGCACCTTATGAGTTTTATTTGCAGCATTCTCCTTCTTTCTAGAAGAGTCTTTTACTGCTTCTTTGACCCAGGAGCATTTAAGGAGATTATTTTTCTACTCTCACATGATCAGATTATTTTACTTAAACTGTTGTCATTAAAGGTTCTATTCCGAACTAACTGCAAGAAAGATCTTATGGAAGAGAGTTGTGGGAGAAGAAAAGCAAAAGGATATATTATTTTTGGAACATTTCTATGGGAAAATACTGATTTGCATGCTAAAATATAACTACCTAAACTAAGTGGAGGTTCAGGGGTGATACACCAGTTAGCAGTATCTAAATATGGAATGTAAATAATTTTCCCTGTCCTTCGGACTAAGGAGACAAAACTTGATTGGGATAATCATGTTGAACATAAGATAATATTTTGAGGCAAAAATATTTAGTATGGATTATTCTCTCCATAGTAGTGAAGGAAGCTATACCACTTAGATTATTTTTAGAAAACCTCAGCGAAACAGAATGAGGTTCACAGATGGTGGCAGATTAGAATACTTGATGAGACTTTTTCTGTGTCTTTTTGTTAACTTTGGCTGCTGTTGCAGAAAAATTACATTTCAAAATTTGGCAATAGTTCTTAAAGGTCCCATCGCTGCTGAAAGTAATTTTGAAGTAGAGGGAGAAAAAAAGAAATAAAAACACAATGAAGGAAATAAGAGGAGCATAATTTCCCAGTGATCTGTAA